CTTGTGTAGGTCTACAAGCTTGTCCCTGACATCCTTGGAGAGCTCTTTGGTCTTGGCCATGGTGGAGAGTTTGGAATCTGATTGATTGATTGCTTCTGTGGACAGGTGTCTTTTATACAGGTCACAAACTGAGATTAGGAGCACTCCCTTTAAGAGTGTTCTCCTAATCTCAGCTCGTTACCTGTATAAAAGACACCTGGGAGCCAGAAATCTTTCTGACTGAGAGGGAGTCAAATACTTATTTCCCTCATTAAAATGCAAATCAATTTATAACATTTTTGACATGCGTTTTTCTGGATTTCTTTGTTGTTATTCTGTCTCACACTGTTCAAATAAACCTACCATTAAAATGATAGACTGATCATTTCTTTGTCAGTGGGCAAACGTACAAAATCAGCAGGGGATCAAATACTTTTTTCCCTCACTGTAGTTCAAAAAGGGACCACTTCAAACTTCAGATGTGGAAACTGAAAGAGTTCTTGTATTTGATTTGATCACTTCCTTCTCTGTGAGTGCACTTCTGCCTTAGCTGAGCACACACAAATAGCATGAATAGAGCAAAATGGGCATAACCCCATAACATCATGTGAAGTCCCACTATAACGCTGCTTGCAATCGTCCCTCTGAATGCTTTTTGGGGATTCTGGGCCCCAAAACAACACACAACAAAAACAAACTCAGAGGAATGCATTCTGACTGTACACTAACCTGACTGGGATTAAATGTGACCAACAATATGTAAAAGTACTTCCTGAGACTAGAGTGTATGTCAGATGAACCGATGTGGATGTGGTGGAGGAGTCAGGCGCAGGACACAGAGGATTCGTCCAAAAGACTTTACTAGTCCAAAGTGCAACAAAACAATACACGACCTCGAAAACAAATGGAGGCGAGGGAATTACGCAACATGCGTAAAACAATAAACAAAACTAACAGAGCGCAAACACGCAGCTCCGCACGACAGGCAAACAACAACACACAATCTAACTAATACAAAACAGGGAACTTATAGGACACGTAATAAGAACACAAACAGACACAGGTGTACAAGACAGACTAACGCAATCACACCACGAAACATACAACGGTGGCAACTAGTACTCCGGGGACGGCGAACGCCGAAGCCTGCCCGAACCAGGAGGAGGAGCAGTCTCGGCCGAAACCGTGACAGTGTAGCTTCACTGTCCCGTATCTGTCTTTGTGATGTGCAAATTGAATAATCATACCTTCAGCGCAGTAGCAGCGAACAGATAGAATAAGGAAACAACGCTGTTGTACTCTGCTTCCTGACTGACGTCAACACTGAATCAATCAAAATAGTTTTGCAACAGAGAAAAATACACCTAATCTGACGAGCACTTCTCCAGAAATGTGTCACAAGATAGCAGCACAAACAAACTTCATACAGTTCAGGACCAAATAAACATTTTTGTGAGAAACAGAAGGTCAGAATGAAGGATTGAAAATGGTAAAAAGAGAAATGAGAGGATGTGGAAGGGAAGAAGTAAGCAGAAGTCAACTGTGGTTTTGTTACGCACAGTGTGTTCTGAGGAGAGGCTATGTGCATGACGCCAAGTGGTCCAGACTTATAGTTTAGAGCATTTGGATAGAGATAACTGCTTAGAGGTGAAAGTGAGGTCACTTCACCTAATATAATGAAAGCATTGTCTTTGCAACCACACCACAGGAGGCCAAACAAACATCCCACTGGGCACACACTGGTTGAATCAACGTTGTTTCCACATAATTTCAATGAAATTACATTGAAACAACGTGGAATAGACGTTGAATTGACGTCTGTGCCCAGTGGGACACTGACACCGCAGGGGAGAAGGTGAAAAGCTTCAAGTTCCTCGGCGTACATATCACTGACGATCTGAAATGGTCCACCCACACAGACAGTGTGGTGAAGAAGGCGCAACAGCACCTCTTCAACCGCAGGAGGCTGAAGAAATTTGGCTTGGCACCTAAAACCCTCACAAACATTTACAGATGCACAATTGAGAGCATCCTGTCGGGCTGTATCACCCCCTGGTATGGCAACTGCAACGCCCGCAACAGCAGGGCTCTCCAGAGGGTGGTGCGGTCTGCCCAACGCATCACCGGGGGAAAACTACCTGCCCTCCAGGACACCTACAGCACCCGATGTAACAGGAAGGCCAAAAAGATAATCAAGAACAACAACCACCCAAGCCACGGCCTGCTCACCCCGCTATCATCCAGAAGGCGAGGTCAGTACAGGTGCATCAAAGCTGGGATCGAGAGACTGAAAAACAGCTTCTATCTCAAGGTCATCAGACTGTTAAATAGCCATTACTAGGCGGCTTCCACCCGGTTACGTAATCCTGCACCTTAGAGGCTTCTGCCCTATATACATAGACTTGGAATCACTGGCCACTTGAATAATGTTTACATATTTTTGCTTTACTCATCTCATATGTATATACTGTATTCTATTCTACTGTATTTTAGTCTATGCCACTCCAACATTGCTCATCCTAATATTTATATATTTCTTAATTCCATTATTTTACTTTTAGATTTGTGTGTATTGTTGTGAATCGTTAGATATTACTTCACTGTTGGAGCTAGAAACACAAGCATTTCACTACACCCACAATAACATCTGCTAAATATGTGTATGTGACCAATAACATTTGATTTGATTAGTAGCTGTATGGCTCTCTAATAACCCCTTTCACTTATTGCCTTTGGAAGCTGTATCATGGCTGTTGTCTGTCCTCCAGCACTCCCCAATCATCTACAGAGAGAGAAGAGACAACACATTGCATATGCGCCATCTCTACGTCAGAGGAGCAGAGGAAACACACACACTCCATCAACCCGAAGAGGAAAGGGCAATTTGGAAAAGGAGAGGTAGTCATGGTTACCATTCTTTTGGCTAAACCAAAAGCCTTGTGTTGTGAGTTTCAATCTCCGCCACACTTCTGATTCACTTTGAAGACAAAGAAAGCTACCGTACATGTGAAGCACAGGAGGTTGGTGGCACCTTAATTGGGGAGGACGGGCTTGTGGTAATGGCTGGAGCGGAAGGGTATCAAATACATGGTTCCCATGTGTTTGATGCCATTCCAATCGCTCCGTTACAGCTATTATTATGAGCCGTCCTCCCCTCAGCAGCCTCCACTGGTGTGAAGTGAATAGTTAAAACAACACATTCACCAGCTTTCTGAAATCAAACATTTATTTGTCGAAAGACAGACACGTCCAGGCAGATACATACAAGAAGGGAGGAGAGTTGTTCCCATTGAACAGCATGTCTCCTGGCGATCCAGACTTGACCACTCAATAATGACACCATCGGGCCTAACAGAGAGGAGAGGCGATACGAGCGAGCGAGCTAGCGAGCGAGCGAGAAGGGGAAGAGCGAGCGCGCGCAGGGGACGAGTAGCGCGGGGGTCGCGCGTCTTATCTGAGAGAGCGCGCGGGAGGATGAGAGCGATGCTAGAGAGGAGAGCTAGAGAGAGAGAGCCGTGATCCTATGCGATCTCGCTAGAGAGAGATAGCTCTCTGAGTCTATCTCTCTCTCTAGCGCTCTACTCTCTCTCTCGCTATCTATGCTCTCTATCTCTCTCTCTATATCGTCCTCTCTCTCTCCTCTCTCTCTGCTCTTCTTCTCTCTATTCTCTATCTGCTTCTCCTGCTCTCTCTCTCTCTCTCAGAATAATTAATATTGCACTTAAGGCGAAAGACAACAGGGTCGGCATCAAGAAATAATGCTTGAACCTGTCCACATAATCAGTCAGAGAATACTGAAATAGCACTGTTACAATTAATTTCTTTTAAAATGGATAGATACAACAGAACAATAGAAGTACATCAATAATAATATATAAAGCTTTATTAGATAGAAAATACAGCATTTTCCTCACACATAAATATATTCTTATAAAGCAGTAGTGGCTTTTTGCATGAAATACCCACCCACACAGCAAATTATCCAGTGTAAAAAAACAAACAAAATTAACACTGAGTGTTAAATCAACATTGAAAGTGTTGAGTCTGTAGACTCATATAGACATTGGAACAGTGCTAAATTAACACACTGCATGAGTTTCAGGCCATTGTATTACACACAAAAAAACTGTTTGATTTGTTCCTAAAGGGGTACAAACACTTGTCACTGTAGTGGTACCCTGTAAGGTCACATAGATATCGAAACAAACAATTCTAAAAATCAACCTGCACTACAGCATGCTGGGAAATATGATAATGATGGGCGTGGTTTTGGTTCAAAGTGATGTGTATGAGTTTAAGGCCCTTGTATTACGGTAAAACTAGGCCCTCAAAATAAGGCCTTGTGAAATATGTATGGTATTTTGTTAAATAACTTTGTTTTAATGATAACACACTTGCTAAGTATCTCACTTTGTAAAGTCCATAGGACTGAAAATGGATGAATGCAACAACCATGTCTCTGTCACTAACAAATACAGTCATGGGTGGTAACTCCAGTTTACTTGAAAGGCAAGGCACTCTGGGAAATATTTGAATAAGGTTTTACACTAAACAGTGTGTTAATTTAACACTGTTCCAATGTCTATATGGGTCCAAAGACTCAACACTTCCAGTGTTAATTTAACACTCTCAGTGATATTTTTGTTTTGTTTTTAACACTGGAGAATTTGCTGTGCATGTTTTCCAGTTGCATAATACATTCTCCAGTGTTGACTGAGTATTAAAACATGAAACATAAGTGTGCTGGAGTATGGGTTGCGGTTAGCAAAAAGGAGGAATTAAATACTGACATTGGGGTAGATTAAATACAAACAATCTGAGTCTCTTCAGGCCAGTCCTCGGGGGTATCCGTAAGTCCCACGGCACTGATACGAAGGGTGAATGTTGTCTATTTCCCGTGGGTTCCTTCATCGTTTAGGCTTAAAGTGGGCACAAGCACAGTGCCTTCATTCTCCTCACACTGTAGCTGTGTGTGTGACTGTATGTGACTGTGTGTGACTGTGTGTGGCAGGCAGACATCACTCTGAGTTCTTGTAGTTGGTGAACATGTTGTACAACACCCTCAAGGTGGACTTCAGGTTCAGGTTCACAACGTCTAAAACCAAACAAGGCACACAAAATAAGTAATGAATTATTTATAAAAACAAAAATAACTAACTTCTCTCTGAGAGGGAAGATCACAAACAAAAAGAAAAGCTCATGCTGCTTGACTGATTCTGGGTAATATTGGTATGCAAACATAAAACTTTATATTCAGGAAGATAAGCGCTGGCGGGGTGAGGTTGGGTGTGTGGGTCACAGGCTGGCTTAGACATACACCAATGTTCAAGTATCTAAAGTGAGGCAAGAGCTCTACCTACTGGACATCTAAGGCATTAAAGCTACTCAAGCATCATGAGCATTCTGATGATAGTCTACCTTCAGCAAGCTTCCCTCTTCTACTGAATGTTCACTGCCTACATTCCCCATGCGTTACTGCCCTCCCTGTTCATCTAATGCAGGTGTTCCCAAACTTTTTTGGCCCGCGACCCCATTTTGATATTTGAAAAGATTTGCGGACCCACCATCTAAAAAAAGTTATGTAATCTACGGCCAATGTTTACTTTTTTTATTGGGGCTATGACAGTCTATTACAAATCAGTCCGACAGTATTTTTGACAGTATTTCAATCTGAAGACAGTATGGTTTGAAGTGACTGAAATGCATCAGAAAGGTATTGGGATGTTCAGAAGATCATCAGGCAATAATGTTGTATGATCTTCTGTGTAGAAAATAACATAATCATTGCAAATTTTCCCTCACAACCCCATTTTCAAATCAGGCGACCTCACATGTGGTCGCGACCCCTAGTTTGGGAAACCCTGATCTAATATATTGTGCCAGTACTGTACCTTCTGGTCTGGCTTTGGGTTTCTTCAGGCCTCCGTCCTGCATCAGCTCAAAGGCAAACACCACGCTGTGGACCTGAGGGGAACCAGGGGAGAGAATGAACAAGATGAACTTGCTAGCAGTCGACCAAAGAAACACCACTTCTACAAGTTCACCTCTTACAGAGAAACACCACTTCTACAAGTCCACCTCTTACAGAGAAACACCACTTCTACAAGTCCACCTCTTACAGAGAAACACCACTTCTACAAGTCCACCTCTTACAGAGAAACACTACTTCTACAAGTCCACCTCTCACAGAGAAACACCACTTCTAAAAGTCCTACCTACCTTTTGCTCAAAGTTCTCCGGTGTGAGGAATAATTTTTAGAGGGGAACAAAGTAGTCCTCCAGCAGGCCCATCAGCAGAACCAGATACACACCATCAGCAAACTGGACACAAAGACAAGGGGGTATCAGACATTGACACAACATGAGGATATGGAAGAAAGTGCATCTTGTCCACAGAGCTACACAATGTTATATTGATAGAGCTGTTTGGTAGTTAAATAAAGCATGATCAGATGTCTAACCTGGGACTCCAGCTCTGTGATCTCCAGGTTCAGCTTGTTCAGGTGTTTGTTCACAAAGGTGATGAGGGACTTGATAAGAGAAGAAGTATAATAACCACTGTGTAGGGGAGAGTGGGGTAAGTTGAGACATGTTTTACATTCAGCATCAATCTGTCAAGGGAAAACATTTTTTTATTTCTAACAAAGATATCTACATATATTTCAGGATGTTGTGTATCTCTGGAAATAATCAGAATTAATGTACCCATTATAGTTTTGAAAACATAGATGGTCCAAAAAAAGTGGTATCTTGGCAAAACTTACCCCAGATGTGGGATAAGTTGAGCCACGGGACAGGGTAAATTAAGCCGCCTACAAATTTCTGTACTGAATGAAATATTACCACTACCATTTTAAAACCATGTTTAATCTTTATTTCCCAAACACAATTCAACACAATCACTTTTTGTCATTTTAAGTAACGTTTAAGACAGGCTTAACACCTAACAAACACTTTGTACTTTTTTAACACTTTTAACATAGGCCCTGTTGTTACGTCATATCCCAGTGATAATGCCTTGCATTACGCCTGGGAAGAAAACACTTCAATTTGCCCAATTTACCCCATGGCCATTCGCTCAACTTACCCCAAGGTAAACATTTTGACTATATTAGCCCACACAGCTACAATGATGCACTTTCATGATAGGTTTAGGACCTCATATTGAAGCTTATAGAGACCCCAACTGATGTATAGAACAATCTTTAAATGACCTACTTTGGTTAAGATACAAGCACCATCAAACCTCTGACACAATATATTCAATTAAATTCGTGAAAATCAGTTTTTTGGAACTAACTTGCTTACTACTTTTTCCATGTGGTTTCTTCCTTCACAGACTCCATGAAATGATGACCTCTTCCTAAATATTTGGTCAAATGATTAATTTTGTGTATGGTTTCCTAGAAACAAGGGTGGCTCAACTTACCCCTATGGCTCAACTTAACAAACTCTCCCCTAAAGTGTAAAGGAACCATTCACAATGCCTATTGCAAATTTAAATCTCTCTTCAAATATTTAACCTTCTTCACAACATTGAGCTTGTCAAGTGCGTGATCCAGGAGTGTGTCAAATTGATACCTTTCTGAGATACAGTAAAAAAAAAGAAATCAAGATCATAAAGAAACTCTGCATTAATCACATTTTCCAACAGGCCTCAATGTTCAACCAACATCTACTCACCAAATCTACCTATCATCATTCTAGAAAAAAAAATTATGTGATTGTTATACCTACATATACAATAAAGATCCCCCCCAAAAAACAAACTAACAAAAAGTGATATAACAATAGTACTTTGTAGTGCTTGTCAGCTCCTTGGTCACATGACACGTCTGCAGTATGCCCTCCCTTTTCTAAAACAAACAAAACCATCTATACAGGTCAATGGGAGAATCTCAATTGCATACTCCTCGCATCCTCTCTCATCATCTCCTTCTCAAAACCCATTGGATGAGAAAGCCAGAGGTCCCGCCCATCTGACCTTCTCCTCCAATGGGTTTTGAGGAGGAGGCGAGGAGAGACGACGCGAGGATGAATGCAATTGAGATTCCCCCAAAGAGTCATTATCATGATGTGCAACAGATAATAAATATGTGTTGTGTCTCCTTACCTTGACCACCACCACCTGTACAGACACGTGTTCAGGCAGTCTGATGGGGGCCAGGTAGTGCATGGCCAGAGCCACCAGCAGGTACACTATGGCCACCAGGTTCTTAGTATGGATAGCTGTGGATTGAGGGTTTTAGTTGGGACTACTAAGTTAAGATGTTGTTTAATGCAGTGCTTTCTAGAGTTAATTTTACACTTCAATGTTAAAATTAGGATTTATATGAAAGACTTTGATAGCATGATATCAAAGATAACTGATCACAATTCAGAAGATATTATTAAGTGTGTTAAATGGTGTGTTAGCCACTCAGACTGGCAACTGAATGGCACCTATCAATGTTTGGTCTTGGACTTTAAAAGACAACTCACAGTCGCCGCTCCTCTCAATGGACCAGCTGTGAAGCCTGAGCAGCTCATTGACAGACTCCAGTACTGTTTGGAGCTTCTGCTTCTGTCCTATCTCTGACTGGGTCACCTCAGCCACATTCAGCTTCCAACCTGACAGCTTCTCTGTCACCAGGAGAGAGGAGACACACAGGGACTTATAAAGGAGTCGCTCAGAGTATCATAATAAACACAAGCACACATACACACAGCAAATGCCTTTGTAAACACTTACCCTAAACAGTTACACCATTTATCAGAATCAAAGAAACTGTGAAAACAGTGATGTTGACAGCATCAAAATATGATACAGTTCATCAGAAAAACACCAAGCTCAGCCACAGACACTACACAGAGTCCAAACTAATTATACCTTATCAAATAACTTCTGGAGCACCTGTCCATCACAGCAATCCTCCTCCAAGTCTTTGACGATGATCCTGTCCTCCTCCAGCTCATTGTTGATCCAGTCTATTAACACCTAGACACAACAACATCTATTAGCATCAGTGCTTGTTCTTCAGAATAAAGGGATACATACTACTGAGAGATGTGGATAAGACACAGTCACCTACCCTCTGAAGATCTTTGAATTTAGGATTCTCTCTTGAGGCTGGGTCCAGCATGTTCCTCTCAGCATTCTCTTCTAAGAAAGATATTGGAAGAATAACACTCAACGGCGAAGCCAGAGGGCTACAACTGATACACATAGAAATAGTACACATCTTCCACATTCTAAGAGTTCTACGCTCTACACTCTGTTGGACAGGACAGGGACTCCAGCCACAGTAACAGAACATCCTCTAACTACCCCTAGTACTCTACAGGGACAACACTGGCCAGCAGTGGACAGGACTTGAAGGAGAGCATGGATACTACTACACTACTGCACTGACAGGTACCATGTTGTGTTTGTGTACCCAATCTAGCAACAGCAGTATTGCATAGGAAGGTGCATGGAAACACAATATGACTGAACTATTATACTGTATAAGAGAACAGTCTATTGCTGAATAAACTCAGACAGCAACGTGATGTTCCAGTTTTTTGGAGGTAGGCTACATACGAAACCTAACTGGCTATCATTATAGGTTAGAGATGTTAATCATAGTACTATGTGGTGTACCAACTTCATCCTTATGCTATAAGCATTACTTTCAGATCTTTATCTGTTCTGCTGCATTGAACAATTAATCCTGCAGTAAATGTATTCCTCTTAATATACAGTATATATACAAATGTGTACTTATTTAATTGATTTAATAAACAAACTATGCAACACCCAATGCCCCTGTGTGAAAAGTAATTGCCCCCTTACAGTCAATAACTGGTTGTGCTACCTTTAGCAGCAATGACTGCAACCAAACACTTCCTGTAGTTGTTGATCAGGCTCTAACATCACTGTGGAGGAATTTTGGCCCACTCTTCCATGCAGAACTGCTTTACTCAGTGACATTTGTGGGTTTTCAAGCATGAACTGCTCGTTTCAGATCCTGCCACAACATCTCAAATCGGGTTTAGGTCTGGACTTTAACTAGGCCATTCCAAAACCTTAAATGTTTTGCTTTTCAGCCATTCTGATTGAGACTTGCTTGTGTGTTTTGGATCATTCTCTTGTTGCATGACCCAGCTGCGCTTCAGCTCACAGACGGATGGCCTGACATTCTCTTGTAGAATTCAATAATGTTAAGTCTTCCAGGTCCTGAGGCAGCAAAGCATCCCCAAACCAAAACAATACCACCCCCATGCTTGACCGCTGGTATGAGGTTCTTACTGTGGAATGCAGTGTTTGGTTTTCGCCAAACGAGATGGGACCCATGTTGTCCAAAAAGTTCCACTTTCGACTCATCTGTCCATAAAACATTCTTACAGGAGTCTTGATGATCCTCCAGGTACTTCCAGGTGATTTCTGGCAAACTTGAGTTGACTTTTTGGGCGACATGGGTCCTGTTATGTCAGTATTTCATTTTTTTTCTGCATTCATCAGTGTTGTCTTGAGACTAGCTTCCATCCCCTCATGCCAGGGCTATCATCACTTTCACCAACCACCACAATGGGGCAGTCTCCTGCTGTACTATAAGTGACACAGATGGAAAACAAGCTTTACCTTGAGGAAATACAATATATACCAAATAAAATACAATTGTATTTGCCACATGCGCCAAATACAACGGGTGTAGACCTTACAGTGAAATGCTTACTTACAATCTCTTAAACAACAATGCAGTTTTAAGAGAAAAAAAGTGTTAAGTAAAAAATAGATAAGTAAAAAATGTTTAAAAAAACAAAAAAAACAAACAAAAAAAAAATATATATATATATATATATACACAAATAAAAAACAAAGAGCAGCAGTAAAATAAAAGAACTGTAGGGAGGCTATATACAGGGGGTACCGGTTAGTCGAGGTAATTGAGGTAATATGTACATGTGGGTAGAGTTAAAGTGACTATGCACTTTATACACTTTCACAATGAAGCAAGTGCCCAGAACACAGACAGACATTCTAAGTGTGTATGAGTGGAATTTACTGGGGTTCCTCAGCAATTAGAACCTAAAAAAAGACAGGAGCCAAACCTTGCAGCTGTCCTCCATAATCACCCGACCTCACCCCAATTGAGATGGTTTGGGATGAGTTGGACCGCAGAGTGAAGGAAAAGCAGCCAACAAGTGCTCAGCATGTGGGAACTCCTTCAAGACTGTTGGAAAAGCATTCCAGATGAAGCTGGTTGAGAGAATGCCAAGAGTAGCAAAGCTGTCATCAAGGCAAAGGGTGGCTACTTAGAAGAATCTAAAATATATTTTGATTTGTTTAACACTGTTTTGGTTACTACGTGATTCCATGTGTTATTTCATAGTTTTGATGTCTTCACTATTATTCTACAATGTAGAAAATAGTAAAAATAAAGAAAAACCCTTGAATGAGTAGGTGTGTACAAACTTTTGACTAGTACTGTATGTTTATTACATCATGAGGAACGCCACTTGCCAGTCTTCTTTCTTTGCTCTAGTTGTCCATAGAAAATAGGTTTTGCATTAGACACATTTCTATAACTTCTATAGACATCACAGCTGTATCAGTGGGCTATATATTCTCTGACCAACAGCATCCTGTGCATGTGGTCCTCTGTAGCTCAGCTAGTAGAGCACGGCGCTTGTAACGCCAAGGTAGTGGGTTCGATCCCCGGGACCACCCATACACAAAAATGTATGCACGCATGACTGTAAGTCGCTTTGGATAAAAGCGTCTGCTAAATGGCATATTATCCTTTGTATTAATATTGAATGACCCCATGACTTTAGTTCAGTTGTGCAACCAGGAAGTTCTCAACTTCAATCACACATGGACGGATGAAAACAGACAGTAACCATGATAATCATATATGGAGATTACACAGCGCTGCAAGTTCCAGACATTTTCAATGAAGAGATAGTAAAATGGCCAACAGATCGTTGAATCGTGGAAGGCTTGGAGATGGATCTTCTCCCCTAGTTACAAGCCAAACTGGTGTAGAGATCACTTCAGTTCCTGGATTACTTTAGTCCAGGTTCTTTCCTTTTTTTCCCTCTGCCTCTTTCCCCAGAGCAGCTTTAAAAAGGACATAAATACATTAACGATCAGTGATCAGAGTCTCTTCTTGAGGTTCAATACAAAGGACTATTACAGTTTTCTACATTTCTATTATCCATTGGAGTTACTGATCAGGTTCCCCTAGAGGCTGTGATCATCTGTTCACCTGTGGTCTGCAGTAGTCCCCAGTGTGTCTGCAGCCTCTGTCTCAGTCTCTCCATGGCCTCCACGTCCTCAGGGAGAAGGGTATCCAGGGGCCCCAGAGAGGGGGCCGGATCCCCCAGCGGAGAGGCTGCCATGGCCCCTACAGCCCCCTCCTCACCCTCCTGGGGTATGACAACAGTGTGTTAGACTTCGAGGGCCACTGTCATCATCTGCCTTCTCATGAACATCTGTTTTTTTGCAAATCCAAAATATGCCCCTCAGTGCCCTCTCTGAGTGTCCCTCTCACCTGTAGGAGAGCCAGTGAGTGACCCTGTGCCAGTCCCTAGAGCAGGCTGGTGATCTGTGCCCAGGCTGCCTCCCCGACCTCGCAGCCCGGCCCCCACGCCAGCAGCACCAGCCCTGGGTCGTACTGAAAGGCCAGGGGCAGGAACAGACCCAGCAACAAGAGAATCATGTATTCGGAGTACTGTAAGATTCATTCTCCGGATAATTTACTGTACCTTTTTCAGATACACATAAACATGACATCTGGATTTCTGATCCTCTGGCTCCTTACTGCTGATCTGCACCATTAGTGCTTTCCTAAAGGAGAGAGGTGAAGGAGATGTTTACAGTTAAGAAGGGTGTTTATTACTGTGTGGTTACTCAACATACTGTACAAACATTCTCACCCGTTCTGTGATTTATGCCGGGATCTCCCCATCCCCCAGGAACACCACCAATAACCAGTGAAGAGAAATCACACACCAACAGAGTTCGCCACCAATATCCCTGCTGGTTTATGCATGTCCAGTATTGAGAAAGGACTCAAAGTCAAAAGGTCATAAACGTTGTGTACCATTTGGTGAGAAACCTCCCAGCATGCTGCACGGCACACAGCATCATCACAGTGACGTCAGGCACCAGAGTCTGACCATTACAAACAGTTAGCACCACAATGACAGGTTAGCTAAAACAACACCACAGAGGCCAAACCACAGAGACCACGATGCAGTTTTTCTCTACTCCTTGTGGTGCTGAGAATAAAAGCCCCATAGTTTGGTTCCTAATACATAAATACACACACAATAACCTCCAGGAATAGCAATGAGGCACATTTATCACAAGCAAACAGAGGCTACACAAAATGAATTAGTACTAAAGAAACATTGGCAAACATACTGTGTAATCTGCAACAAATAACAATTAATGCCATTTGTAATATGATGCAAGCTACTTAGAATCAGTACAATGAAGCACTGTCATCTTCACAACAATGCTATCAACAGCTATATCACCACTTGTTCCTTTATCTTTGCAAAGAGAGCATTGACACTGCAGCGAGACAAGACAGCTTCCTCATCCTGTGGCTCTTCGAAAAAGTTTACCCTGGTTATAAAATAAGACAGCATTACTAAAGCGTCACCAAAAATGTCAAATGTTAAATACAATCAATGATCATATTATTAAGAAAAGCATACAGTGATTGAACAGGAACTATGATCATGCACTTTAAAGTAACTGTCCAGTGAAAATCTCACTTAAAGGTTCATAGTCTGTTAATGCAAATAATCTTGTTGACTCATCCTATATTCGTTTTTGTTGGCATAAACTGGTGACATCCACACCACCTCCTCCTTTTTCTAACCATCCCCCTCGCCTTTCTGACCCTCATCAGCCTGCACATCCTATTCCTTCTCTGCCAGCTTACACCGTTTAGTGCTAGGCTCAGACACGGTGGGACAACTGGGGGGGAGAAGGAAGTGAAGGGAGGGAGAGAAGAAAGAAAAGAGGAATAGTTCCATTAGGGCAATGCAGGTTGATATGTTGTAAATGGAGTGATGAGATCAGAGTGATTTCATATAGGGCTGGCACAATTACCATATAAAAGACGGTTATGGATGAAGACGACAGTCATGTAAATTAAATAACCGTCGTAAACCGTTTTTTTAAAAAAACATGGGGGGGTGGGGGGGAGCAGCTGACTGAAGACGGGAAGGCTGGGCATTGGTGCAGTTGAGTCCGTTTCTGCGTTAACATGAGCTCTTAACAACTTGATTAAACTTTGTTGCAAGCAAAGTGTTGTAGCAACTGCTGAATAGAATGGGCTTGGAACCTCTAACCCTGGCAATTTGACTGGTAAACTCATGTGTACACTCGCAATGGCTGCCTGGTATTGTGATGCAATAATTTCCATTATTGGTCATGTAGAATGTTCATTCAAATGATGTTAACTGATGTGTCTCATGCAATGGAATGTATTTTTTGTAATGTCAGTTGAGTTGAATCAACAAATCACAGCACATATTGATGGGTACACATCCAGTTTTTACTTCCTGCTTTGCTCCTAGGTCAAAAATATACAGGTTAAGACAACATCGTCACAAATTTGGGACCAGCGCCGTTTCTAACTACCAGCACTGTGGTCCAATTGTTGCAAAGACTTATGGGATATTAGAATCTCGTTGTCTTAACCTTTGTCATCTTCAACCTAGCTTTGCTCCTATGGGTACACTTGCAATAGCCGCCAGTCCACCCATTATGCAATCATTGACTTGAAATGGGGACGCCTGTTCTATTAATTATATTTCTCTGGCAGAACATGCAGTCAGGAGAGGAGGAAAGGAGAAAATGTGCGTAAAAAAACCAGAAATATTTTTTTTGTTGCTATTCGAACGGTTATTACAGAGACCGTGGCCATTTTGCTGGTCAATTACCATCATCCAAAATTCCATGTCCGTCACAGCCCTAATGTCATATAGTACCTGTGTGTTTGAGACAGGCCCAGTATGGCTTGTGAGTGGATCTGACACACTGAATTGACTCCAGAGCACTGCAGGGGCAGATAGAAAGAGAGAGATACAATGCAATGCTGTAACGGTACATTACATTTTACATTTACGTCATTTAGCAGACGCTCTTATCCAGAGCGACTTACAGTTAGTGAGTGCATACATTATTTTTAATATTTTTTATTTTTCATACCCCCATGGGAATCGAACCCACAACCCTGGCGTTGCAAACGCCATGCTCTACCAACTGAGCTACATCCCTGCCGGCCATTCCCTCCCCTACCCTGGACGACGTTGGGCCAATTGTGCACCGCCCCATGGGTCTCCCGGTCACGGCCGGCTACGACAGAGCCTGGATTTGAACCAGGATCTCTAGTGGCACAGCTAGCACTGCGATGTGGTACAAGCTACATAATGTTTTATATTTACATTTTTGTCATTTAGCAGACACTCTTCTCCAGAGCGATTTACAGTCTAGCATTCTACTTATAAGTGCTACTTATGTTATAGCAGATTTAAAGTTTATGAAATGCCTTTATTGAGAAACTAGCCAACCTCTCACACGGGCCGTTCCTTTAATTCAGTCATCATTTGAGATTGAAATGTAGAGACTGGTCATGAGACATGTTTTGTGAGTGCTGCAGATGCAGGAGAATGCCTCACCTCATATGCAACAGGCAGGAGAACATGGAAGACAGAAAGGTAATCACTGTTCTCCATCCCCACCTGTAACCAGTCAAGAGATCAAATGAGAACTGAAGGCATAATGATACTGAGGAAGAAACAAGGGCTTCTTAGAATTGAAATGACTTCTAGAATTCTACTCCTATGGTATTGACCTTGTTCCAAGGTACGTTGATGTTGAAGCCAGCGCCCTTCTCTTTGCCCACACTGTCATAGTCTGACTCCCTCAGGTTGGGCCAGAAGCCTTGGTGCTCATAGCAGTGACAGGAGAAGTAGAGCACAAAAGGAGACAAAGAGGGGTGTCAGTCAGGATGGATTACTATCCAAAAGGTCCAGTTAGAATCAAGAAAAAAGACACCTTGGGTCATCCTCGGAAGAGAACTGTACCCCCTGTCCATGATGCACGTCCCAGTCCACTATCAACACCCTGGGCAAAACAAACAGCAGCTCACCCCAAATTCTGCCACCACATTATGTTCCCTGTCCCTTCATAATATAAACCCACCTGACCAGAGCCATACCGTTCCTCACTTTCCCAGTCATCACACTGTCCACCAGCTGGAGAGTGGCCCCAATGGTCAGCTTGGCACAGTGGTAGATGTTCTTCAGTTGACCAAGCAGAGCATGGGTTTCACACTGTAGCTAGCCAGCTAATCTCTGCTTCAGAGTCAAGTCCTGTCCTTTTTTATCTTGTTGTTTTTACCCTGACTGCACTACACATTTCTCAATTGTGACAACAAAGATAATGATTGATAGTCCATTTCATCTCACCGGGTGGAAGTAGACATCTCCATACTGCAGAGTGCATAGATCAACATAATACGCAATAAGGATGGAGACTTCCATAGGAGTTTGTGGCAGGTCATCTGCTCATAAATCAAAGCAGTTCCGGATATCTTTCAACAAAGTAATCGAGACTTCAATGGCAGAAGGACGGGAACACAACTTTAAAGCAAAGTTGAGGGACTGTTGATAGCTATACCTGTACTTTGTAGAACACGCTGCCGAGCAATACAACTTTATATTGGATTTAGAGGAACACATTTATCGGTATCTATAGCAAAGGGCGCAGACATGTTTGTGGCACGTGCCCACAGGACAGTTTTGATTGGTTTTCATATCAAGGAACGTTCACATTTACAATTATGTTAAGTAAGAATTTGAATTATAGATTATGTGATGTACAGATGTTGAGCTAAATAAAATAAAAACGGTGAAAACTTCTCTCCCTTGTGGTATGAGTTGGTATAATAGCGTACTTAGGCCTTGTGAAAACAAAATATGGTGGTCACTCACAAGATTACACCAGTCCTGCTAGAAAATTATGTGCCAGTGTGATTGTCTTCCATATCCCCTAACACGGATTCAAATATATAAAGAACTCTGAAGTGCTCCGTTATCCAGATTTGTTTTCAGAGCATGACATAACAGAAACTTAAGTAAAACCGCATGAGATCTCCTCAGTATACCAGGGTAAATGGCTGGTGACTGGATCAAGTCAAACACATTAGATTGTAGCCATGGCACTGATGGCAGGCGATGACTACAGTAACTACAGCCAGCTGGCAAGAGCCACCCTGCCAGATTGTCAGCTCCACAGCACCTGCCATGACCAGCAGCAACAGGGGCACGGTCTCAGTGCCGACTGGAACCCAAAACAAAACACTGATCTGTCATTGCCAGGATGCATCTTTACTGCCTCCAACCTGAAATAAGTGTCCCCAAATCCCCATATGCACTGAGCAACAACACAGTACTATAAATGTCAATTGAATAGAAGTGTTTTGGTCAAGCAACATTGGTTTTATGACGGTAGATGCTGCAGAAAAGCCCCCCATTGTTTTGATGATGGAACTGTAATTCATAGGGTTGATCTTCTTGGGCTGAATAGTTACTACAGACAACATGATACCCTGAAAGTGGCACAGGCTGGAACAGAAAGCTGTATCGCAAATGTCTGATACAAGACCATGTATGATACAAAACATCACCAACAACCTTCTCACTCAGCATTTTAATTCTTGCTCTGTAAAATAACTTGTTTCCAATAAAAACTAAACATTCTTGTTAAAAAAAAGCAAACGGTAATTCTATACAATCAGGGTCAGTTCATTATAGTACTGTGGGAAATCGCAGGGGCGTCAACAGTTTTATTTTTTTCTTTAGGCACGTGAGTGACCGAGTCGAGGTGGTGGCCCTTAAGAGGAAATCTTTCTACCAGAGTCCCTCAGAGTAGATATCGCGATTGATTGCCTGAATTGATGTGATAATAGAACATTAAGTTTATAACAGTAATGTGCACCACTTCTTTTTAATTTGTATTACCCTTTAAACTAGTACTAGTTTGATTGTTGTAACCATCAATTGTCCCATTAACAATCACCCATATTAGCACATTTATTTCATTTCTCTAGTATAGACTACCATTGTCGTAATGAATGAGATCAGCAAAATGCCTGCAATAAATGGTCCTATCGGTCATTTTAGGTTTATCCTTCCAGTCCTACCTCAGAACACCACCATGGGTTACTCAGAAACTCCTAGATGTCGCCAGTAAGTGCTTAGGCAGCATGTCACTCATTTCAAAATCATATCTCTGAATTCCTCCAGTGCAGGAACGCTTTAAAACACACAGTAAAACCCTCCTGATAAAAAAAATGAAGAAAATAATCAAGTAGTAACAGATGTTGCTCTTGGTCGTGTGGTTGGCTGTGATGATTTCCATCATCCACACACCTTGAGAGGAATGACCTATGGCCAAAACACTCCCATACCCACAGTATACAGTTACTCTCACATACAGTATGGACTGGAAGCAGGCTGGACTGCAGCCTGTAAAAGCAGTGCAGTAGTCTAGGCCTATATGCAGTTCAAGGGCCTATTCAGGATGAAGTAACAATACAGAACGTTCAGATAGAAATGTATCGTGTAGACCAGATATTGTCAGATTGAATAGGGGAATCATGTCAGCTCTATTCATTCAATTTCTATCTGCAACGTTCAGAACATTTGATGTCGCTGAATACAGCCCAGTTCATTTCGTGTTGTGTTAGTTGAGCCAGGTGGTGTTGAGCTGGGTCTGGTTCTTGATGCTGGTGTCCATCTTGAGCACCTCTCTGATGGCCATGGTGGCGTAGGTGGAGGGAGGCAGAGAGAACTCCATCCTCAAAGCCCTGTACTTCCCCTCTGGATGTGGGAGGAAGAGAAGAGACGAGGGATGATGAAATAAAAAAAAAAGGAGTGAGAAAGGCAGAAACATCACCAGAAAAATAATTTTTCTCTATCAATTGAATGGGCTGCACATACAAGCCCAATGGAGGAGGAACACAGAGTGATCAACGTGCAGCAACATGATGAAACTAGAACAGACCTTTGTTGAAGACCGGAGGAGGTTGGTCCTCTAGTTTCTCTACATCAGTGTGAACCAGAGAGATACGAGGGTCGTCATAGTTAATCACCTCCCTACAGAAAGAGACGATACAAGAAATTCAACTCAAGATTGTAGATGAAGAAATTGAGGACATATCAAATAATTTATTTAAAGTGCATTTAACAAAAGCCTCAATAATTATTTGGTGGGTGCTTATATTTGTCCAGTTTCACACGTGTACAAGTGTGTATTATTTGCATGTGTGAATTGGAAATGTGTTTTTTTGCATATCCCAACTGCCCCTGAGACACCCTCTGAGAGTGAGGTCACGGCAAGTGTCTGCCATTATCAACGGCGACCGAGGAGCAATTAGGGTTAAGTGCCTTGCTCAAGGCTCAGGGATTTAAACAAGCAACCTTTCGGTTACTGGCCCAACGCGCTAACCGCTAAGCTACCTGCCTCCCTAATAAATAAATAAATAAATAAATAAATATATATATATTGTGGGGATCTATTTTCTTATAACTAGATGTGATGCCTAGCTTAGAAAGAATACATTCATATGATTAAACATAATAGGTTTGTGCTGTACTGATATAGACTTTAACATAACAAGCTGTGATTAATGTGAGGAACCATTAGGGGGTAGGCCGAGACAGACTTGTGATTCTCACATACACAAACACAGCCTCTTTGTTAGAACGCTCAAGGACATGTGTACTGCAAAAGTGCTGACTCTCTGGACAAGTTGCAAAACAACTGACACCTGGCAACAGTGAAGCGCCAAGGGGCTGGGACCAGCTTGTGCGCCAACGATAGGCTGAGTAAGTCTAAACCACGCTCAGTCTCTACTCTGATAGGCCAGCAGGGAGCGGGAACTATCTCTGTCAGAGTATTTAAAGATGAACTTATAACAATGGACCAGTTCTCTGTCTGCCCTGCGTGGTATTTCAGTGAGCCCGTATACGAACTCTCATACTTACCATTTAAACATTTGCATTAATAAAATACTAGTCTATTTTAGAAGACGTGTATTGACCTCTTTTTGTTCCTATACCAGATTTGAATTGACACAACTTATCTATATATATATATATATATATATATATATTATATATATATATATATATAATATATATATATATATATATATATATATATATATATCTCATAGACTATCATGTAAAATATTTTTTTTTTCAAATATCAGAGCTTTCAATACAATCTCTATGGGTTCCGGGAGGGCTTGCACTTACGCGCTTTCGTCATACGTAACATAAGTAACCATGAACATAACTAAGAAAAGAGCGGGTAGCAGCGTCAATCAATTCACGTACAACTGTCAAGATGGCTAGCTTTGCGAGGCAAAGATGAAACTGAGGGCGCCACCAACCCTGGTATTTTTCTTGGACTTGTCAACTTTGTGGCACAATTAGATGAGGTGTTTGATGACCATCTTAAAAATGCTAAAGTTTTCAAGGGCACATCAAAGACCATTCAAAACGAGCTACTGGAGTGTATGCTAGCGGTCATGAGGGAACATATTGTGGAGGAGGTGAAGTCGGCGAACTTCGTAGCTATCCAAGCTGACGAGACCACGGACGTTTCTACACAGACACAGCTGGTGCTTGTGCTGAGGTACATAGATAGCAACCAAAAAGTGCAGGAGCGCTTTTTTGAGTTCCTTCCCATCTCGGAATCAACCTCAGTCTCAATCGCCAGTGTGCTTTTGGAGAGACTGAACGGTCTTTTTGCCGACGACGAGAAAGTCAAACTCATTGCGCAAGCTTACGATGGAGCCAGTGTGAGGGGAGAGAAGGCTGGTGTGCAGCAAAAGGTGCGTAAGCATTTCAAGAATGCCCATTACGTGCATTGCTATGCGCATCAGCTGAATTTGATCATGCAGCAAGCTAGAACAGTTTCAGTACAAGTAATGTAGCCTCTCTCTCTCTTTGTCCCTCCCTGTCTGTCTCTTTAACACACACACGCCCAAATCAGTTCACAGTTGATGTTGTTTAAAATAGTTATTTTTCATTTTTAAAAAAAGTTTTAAAAAAATATATATATATGTTCATTTTTACAAATCTATACAATTGGCCAGAATATGGTTGTTCATATTTACAAATCTATACAATTGGCCAGAATATGGTTGTTCATTTTTACAAAGCCATACAGATAGCTGTGTTTACCTTTTCTATAAATTATTTTCAAATTCTGTTTTCAGGCAAAATGTCTATCACTGTTCATTTTCACAAATCTATACAAGAGGGCAGAATATGGAAGTCTATAAAAATTTCTTATTACCAATAACTTGCATCAATGTTTTCAGTAGCCTCTATCAAAAGCTCCTGCTTGCTTGTTGTGAATTATGCTCAGGTGCACATATTTCCAATTCAACCATGAGGCCTTTTTGAAGCAAGTAATGTGTATATCAGTATTGACTTATATGCTGCCCCTGTCTTCATGTTGTTGCTGGACATATCTTTTTTAAAATGTGTGTAGGTCACCTAAATCATCAGAAAAATTGCCCCCCCTGAGAATTTTTTCAGGAGCCGCCACTGTGCGTACGTGCGTGCGTGCGTGCGTACGTACATACATACATACATACATGCATACATGCATACATGCATACACACATGCATACATACACACATGCATACATACACACACACACACACACACACACACACACACACACACAGTACCAGTCAAAAGTTTCACACCTACACATTCAAGGTTTTTTATTTGTACTATTTTTTTTACATTGTAGAATAATAGTGAAGACATCAAAACTATGAAATAACACATATGGAATCATGTAGTAACAAAAAAAGTGTTAAATATATATTTGAGTTTCTTCAAATAGCCACCCTTTGCCTTGATGACATCTTTGCATTCTTTTCCAACAGTCTTGAAGGAGTTCCCACATATGCTTAGCACTTGTTGGCTGCTTTTCCTTCACTCTGCCGTCCGACTCATCCACAACCATCTCAATTGGGTTGAGATCGGGGGATTGTGGAGGCCAGGTCACCTACAGCACCCGATGTCACAGGAAGGCCAAAAAGATAATCAAGGACATCAACCACCCTAGCCACTGCCTGTTCACCCCGCTATCATCCAGAAGGCGAGGTCAGTACAGGTGCATCAAAGCTGGGACCGAGAGAATGAAAAACCGCTTCTATCTCAAGGCCATCAGACTGTTAAATAGCCATCACTAGCACATTAGAGGCTGCTGCTGCCTATTGAAATCACTGGCCACTTTAAGAAATTGAACACTAGTCACTTTAATAATGTTTACATATCTTGTATTACTCATCTCATATGTATATACTGTACTTCTATTCTATAGTAGTATATATACTTCTATTCTATAGTATCTTAGTCCATGCCGCTCTGTCATTGCTTGTCCATATATGTATATATTCTTAAATTCCATTATTTACTTAGATTTGTGTGTATTGGGTATATGTTGTGAAATTGTTAGATATTACTGCACTGTCGGAGCTAGAAGCACAAGCATTTCGCTACACCCGCAATAACATCTGCTAAAACACGTATGTGACAAACACAATTTTATTTGATGCAGCACTCCATCACTCTCCATCTTGGTAAAATAGCCCTTACAGTCGGGAGGTGTGTTGGGTCATTGTCCTGTTGAAAAACAAATGATAGTCACACTAAACCCAAACCAGATGGGATGGCGTATCGAATGCTGTGGTAGCCATGCTGGTTAAGTGTGCCCTGAATTCTAAATAAATCACAGACAGTGTCACCAGCAAAGCACCCCCACACCATAACACCTCTTCCCCTATGCTTTACGGTGGGAACTAAACATGCGGAGATCATCCGTTCACACACACCGCATCTCACAAAGGCACGGCGGTTGGAACCAAAAATCTCAAATTTGGACTCCAGACCAAAGGACACATTTCCACCAGTCTAATGTCCATTGCTCGTGTTTCTTGGCCCAAGCAGGTCTCTTCTTCTTATTGGTGTCCTTTAGTAGTGGTTTCTTTGCAGGAATTCGACCACGGAGGCCTGATTCACACAGTCCCCTCTGAACAGTGGATGTTGAGATGTGTCTGTTACTTGAACTCTGTGAAGCATTTATTTGGGCTGCAATTTCTGAGGCTGGTAAGTCTAATGAACGTATCCTCTGCAGCAGAGTTAACTCTGGGTCTTCCATTCCTGTTGTGGTCCTCATGAGAGCCAGTTTCATCATAGCGCTTGATGGGTTTTGCGACTGCACTTGAAGAAACTTTCTTGAAAGTTCTTGAAATGTTCTGTATGGACTGTCATTTCTCTTTGCTTATTTGAGCTGTTCTTGCCATAATATGGACTTGGTCTTTTACCAAATAGGGCTATCTTCTGTATACCCCCCATACCTTATCACAACACAACTGATTGGCTCAAAAGCATTAAGGAAAGAAATTCCACAAATTAACTTTTAAGAAGGCACACCTGTTAATTGAAATGCATTCCAGGTGACTACCTCATGAAGCTGGTTGAGAGAATGCCAAGAGTGTGCAAAGCTGTCATCAAGGCAAAGGGTGGCTATTTGAAGAATCTCAGATAAAATATATTTTGATTTGTTTAACACTTTTTTGGATACTACATGATTCCATATGTGTTATTTCCTAGTTTTGATGTCTTCGCTATTATTTTCCAATGTAAAAAATAGTAAAAATAAAGAAAAACCCTTGAATGAGTAGGTGTGTCCACATTTTTTGACTGGTAGAGTGTGTGTGTGTATATATATATATATATATATATATATATATATATATATATATATATATATATATATACACACACACCAGTGGGGGAAAAAAGTATTTAGTCAGCCACCAATTGTGCAAGTTCTCCCGCTTAAAAAGATGAGAGAGGCCTGTAATTTTCATCATAGGTACACATCAACTATGACAGACAAAATGAGAAAAAAAAATCCAGAAAATCACATTGTAGGATTTTTAATGAATTTATTTGCAAATTATGGTGGAAAATAAGTATTTGGTCAATAACAAAAGTTTCTCAATACTTTGTTATATACCCTTTGTTAGCAATGACACAGGTCAAACGTTTTCTGTAAGTCTTCACAAGGTTTTCACACACTGTTGCTGGTATTTTGGCCCATTCCTCCATGCAGATCTCCTCTAGAGCAGTGATGTTTTGGGGCTGTCGCTGGGCAACACAGACTTTCAACTCCCTCCAAAGATTTTCTATGGGGTTAAGATCTGGAGACTGGCTAGGCCACTCCAGGACCTTGAAATGTTTCTTCCGAAGCCACTCCTTCGTTGCCCGGGCGGTGTGTTTGGGATCATTGTCATGCTGAAAGACCCAGCCACGTTTCATCTTCAATGCCCTTGCTGATGGAAGGAGGTTTTCACTCAAAATCTCACGATACATGGCCCCATTAATTATTTCCTTTACACGGATCAGTCGTCCTGGTCCCTTTGCAGAAAAACAGCCCCAAAGCATGATGTTTCCACCCCCATGCTTCACAGTAGGTATGGTGTTCTTTGGATGCAACTCAGCATTCTTTGTCCTCCAAACACGACGAGTTGAGTTTTTACCAAAAAGTTATATTTTGACCATATGACATTCTCCCAATCCTCTTCTGGATCATCCAAATGCACTCTAGGAAACTTCAGACGGGCCTGGACATGTACTGGCTTAAGCAGGGGGACACGTCTTGCACTGCAGGATTTGAGTCCTTGGCGGCGTAGTGTGTTACTGATGGTAGGCTTTGTTATTTTGGTCCCAGCTCTCTGCAGGTCATTCACTAGGTCCCCCCGTGTGGTTCTGGGATTTTTGCTCACCGTTCTTGTGATCATTTTGACCCCACGGGGTGAGATCTTGCGTGGAGCCCCAGATTGAGGGAGATTATCAGTGGTCTTGTATGTCTTCCATTTCCTAATAATTGCTCCCACAGTTGATTTCTTCAAACCAAGCTGCTTACCTATTGCAGATTCAGTCTTACCAGCCTGGTGCAGGTCTACAATTTTGTTTCTGGTGTCCTTTGACAGCTCTTTGGTCTTGGCCATAGTGGAGTTTGGAGTGTGACTGTTTGAGGTTGTGGACAGGTGTCTTTTATACTGATAACAAGTTGAAACAGGTGCCATTAATACAGGTAACGAGTGGAGGACAGAGGAGCCTCTTAAAGAAGAAGTTACAGGTCTGTGAGAGCCAGAAATCTTGCTTGTTTGTAGGTGACCAAATACTTATTTTCCACCATAATTTGCAAATAAATTCATTAAAAATCCTACAATGTGACTTTCTGGATTTTTTTCCCTCAATTTGTCTGTCATAGTTTATGTGTACCTATGATGAAAATTACAGGCCTCTCTCATCTTTTTAAGTGGGAGAACATGCACAATTGGTGGCTGACTAAATACTTATTTTCCCCACTGTATATGAATATAAAACACACACGTGCAATCACATTCTCATGCACAATGAAAAAAATAAATAATAATCCTCAGCTCCTTTTCATGTCTTTGGAATGTGTAACGACACCTTCCATAATACTATTAGATAGCTCTTTAATAGTTAGCTATAACTGACCAGCTGACGTCACTGGGTTTGATGAGGATACGTCGGTAGGCTCCGGCCAGAGAGTAGTCCCTCACCCTGTGTCTCATGTTGTCAATGTCCAGGTTATCTGCACTCAGCATCTCCCCATAGCCCTTCCCCACTGTTACAGAACAGGATGAAAATACAATAAAATCTGAAACACCCACACACCTCCACCCACAGACCTCCACCCACAGACCTCCACCCACAGACCTCCACCCACAGACCTCCACCCACATATCTGAATAGAATAGTATCCTCCAGAGTTATAGTAGTCCAGTGATTGAAATTCTTCCTCTCCTCTGCTTCTAACCCCACAGACAACAGGCATAAGAACAGCAGTTGTGTGGGGACTTTGCCCTGACATGGTGGAAGGATGCAGGGCTCTCTTACCGTGGTGAGTGGGGTAAATGACATCAAACCCTGGTAGGGGCATCACCACGTCCTGAATAGAGTGGGTCTCTGCCTCGGCTGCAGACAGCACGAATGCAGTGCCTGGAGATAGAGGGTGAATAGGAGGATGTGTACATTAGTTGGTTTGAGCCCCAACATAGAATAAGCACATTAACTCAGTCCAGCCTAGCAGGAGGTCTAAAGCCCTCTGTTAGACATGGATTATCACAAATTAGAGCCATCTGTGAGACAGGCACTCTGGGCTGTGTGCTCAATCTCTACAGAAGATTTAACAAAGGATTTAAAACTCAGGAGTTGTCCCCAAATACACCCACAAAGGCACACTAGACATAAATAGATAGGACCCACCTCCTCTGAGCACGAGGTCTCCCTCCACAGCCTTCAGTCCAAAGGCCTCAATGCGTCTGCTGACCATGGTGTTCCACATAAAGCTCTGGTAGCTGTGGATGTACATCAGCCGGTTGTTACGAGGGATCTAGAAGAGAAGAGGAGGGCCAACACAGGGAGTTAACCCACCATAAGTCAACCTGACGAGAACAGACTGAATGAATCTAACAAATCAACATTTGTTTCTCACCTTTAACAACATACAGTCAATTGGAACCACATAGGGATAAATAAATAATGTACATGTTTGGAAAGTGTACGCGAGTCACCCATTACGTCCTGATCAGTCATAACAGTGCATTTGCCAGTTAGTTTGTAAGCGTAAAAGCTGGCTCAGCTCACCATGGCGAATGCAGTGATGATGTTCTTCTTGCCGTACATGGAGAGGCCACGGAGCAGCTGTCCCTCCACACAGCGTTTCACAGGCAGCTTCTTCAGCGCTGCCTCTGGGTCCTGGGACTGGGCCCACTCCTCACGACACTTCACCAGGTAACCTTTCTCCGCTGCAGAGAGAAAGGTCATGGCAAATCAAGTCAAACACATGATCTTGCAATGATGCTTTGGCCATCTGGTAGCTGACATTACACACAAAAAGCATTCAAAACCGAGTCAAAGGAAGGAGAGTGGTGACTGTTTTACCTCCAGGGCGAGGCTTCAGGATCAGATCTATCACTTCATTCCAGTTGTCTTGCAGGATGGCCCTGGTCCAGACACAGAGGGACACAACAACAGTCAAATCACCCATCCCCTGCCTACCCCATAACCGTGGGCCAGTTACACTATGTACCGAGTGGTCATGTTCTTGCCTGCTGACCCCATACCCTATAGTATGTATGTCACTGGAGGCTGCTGAAGGGGGGACTGCTCATAATAATAGCTGGAATGGAGTGAATGGAATGGTATTGTGTTCGATAATATTCTACATATTTAGTTTCAGCCATTACTATGAGCCCATCCTCCCCAATTAAGGTGCCACCGGCCGCCGGTGATGTATGTGTGTCTATGTCCTTACTTGCCAACCTGGTGTGTGGGCACGGCGGTGGTGCCAAAGCGCTGCATGCCGTAGTAGTTGATGAAGCCTGTGTCTCTGAGGGAGGTCATGGCCTGCTGGACTTGCTCATCTGTCCCGGTGATGTTCCTGTGAGAGGCAACCAGCCAGGAACAAATAGCAACACAGAGCTGATTAAAATGTGTTGCTATTTGAATTGTGAATTGAATAACAGGGATTGGAGAGTAGTTAGAGTTACAAAGAATACGTTATAGCAAAGAGATTACAGACATATCACACGCAGCTAGTATCCACTGACCTGATGACCACAGTGAAGTGATTGCCCTGTAGTTCCCCCAGTTTCAGAGGGTGTTTCTTGTAGCAGAAGTTTCCCAGCTTGAAGTTATTGAGACACTTGTTGAGGTGAGACAGTCTTTCTGCTGTGACCCTGAAGGGACAGGCAACAAAGGTCCAGTGCAGTCAAAAACTTGATTTTCCTGTGTTTTATATACATTTCCACACTAGGACGTTGGGATAATACTGTGAAATTGTGAATATTATGATAATGCTTTTTTAGTGTAAGAGGTGTTTCTAAAGAGCGCCTGAAATTTCTGCTTGTTTTGCATGGGTGGAGTTTTGGCCTGCCTGGTGACATCACCAGGCGGTTTAAGTTAATAGACCAATAACAGAGTTCAGGTTAAATATCCCTCCAATTAAGCCACTCACTCAGACCACCCCCAGACAGTCCAAGCAAAATTCTTGCTTGAGAAATTGCTCTTTGCTAAGAAGCTATTTTTTGTAATAAATAATTAAAAACAATCACAGTAAAGGGCTCTCCACAGTGATTTCACAGTCTACACAAACGGAGCTACAGAGCTATGTTTGCGTCAGGTTCCAAAAATCCAGCCGCACATAAGTACGTAGAACTACGTAGAGAGCTACGCAAACAAACCTCAGTCGGATCTGTTGCAGATCCATTGCGTAGAGCCCTTAAGGTACTTACAGTGCCTTCGGAAAGTATTCAGACCCCTTGACCTTTTCCACATTTGGTTACGTTACAGCCTTATTCTAAAATGGATTAAATTGTTTTCCCCCTCAATCTAAACACAATACCCCATAATGACAAAGCAAAAATAGGTTCAGACATTTTTGAAAATGTATTAAAAATAAAAAACTGAAATATCACATTTACATAAGTATTCAGACCCTTTACTCAGTACTTTGTTGACGCACCTTTGTTAGCGATTACAGACTCGAGTCTTCTTGGGTATGACGCTACAAGCTTGGCAAACCTGTATTTGGGGAGTTTCTCCCATTCTTCTCTGCAGATTTGTATTTATTATGGATCCCCATTATTCCTGGGGTCCAGCAAAATTAAGGCAGTTATACAATTTTAAAAACATTACATTCACAGATTTCACAACACACCGAGTGCCCTCAGGCCCCTACTCCACCACATATCTACAATACAAAATTCATGTGTACGTGTGTGTATAGTGCGTATGTTATTGTGTGTATGCATGTATCTGTGCCTATGTTTGTGTTGCTTCGAAGTCCCCACTGTTCCATAAGGTGTATTTTTATCTGTTTTTTAAATCTAATTTTACTGCTTACATCAGTTACTTGATGTGGAATAGAGTTCCATGTAGTCATGGCTCTATGTTGTACTGTGCGCCTCCCATAGTCTGTTCTGGACTTGGGGACTGTGAAGAGACCTCTTGTGGCATGTCTTGTTGGGTATGCATGGGTGTCTGAGCTGTGCGCCAGTAGTTCAAACAGACAGCTCGGTGCATGCATCATGTCAATACCTCGCATAAATACAAGTAGTGACAAAGTTAATCTCTCCTCCACTTTAAGCAAGGAGAGATTGACATGCATATTTGTATGCTGTTTGTACCTACCCTGATAGGTTGACTGATAACCTGAACCAGGTTGCAGGAACTGGTTACAGTTTTAAGCTTTTTTTTGAGTGGGCAGCTTGATGAAAGCCAGTCAATATTTAAAATCACCCAGAAAATATACCTCTGTTGATATCACATACATGATCAAGCATTTCACACGTTATCCAGATACTGACTGTTAGCACTTGGTGGTCTATAGCAGCTTCCCACAAGAATGGGCTTTAGATCCTCTCTCAGCTTTACAGGAATGTGGTTCTGAATATAAACAGCAACACCTCCACCATTGGCATTTCTGTATTTTCTGTAAATGTAATAACATTGTATTGCTACCACTGTATCAAAAGGTATTATATAAAGTGAGTTTCAGAGATAGATTATAAATGTCATCTGTTACTAGCAAATGATTGATTTCACGAACCTTGTTTCTTAAGCTACATATGTTAACTTAGGCTATTTTGAGCCGTTTTCTTTTGGGATGCTTACTTGTTATCATTGCTTTACTGGGAAGCTTAGCAAAAGTAGATATGCTTATGTTATTTATGTTAATGCAGGATGAGCTGCACACAGTGGACTTCCTACTAGGGCACACCGCCTCAGTGCTAACAGTATAAATCTGGTTCATAGGCACATGATTACTGCATACAACAGCTGTAGGATCAGCAGAGGCATTCAGGACAGTTAGAGGGAAATAAATTAGGTTACTTACATTGGGTCTACCAATGGCCCTGGTATAATGTACATTTGCTGAAGCATTATGACAACTCAGCTTCACAATGGTAGTGATTAACCGAGCTGGGCTTGGGTCATTGATAAGTCAGTGTCTTAACGCAGCCTTATAATGTTATGAAAGGATCCAGGAATCCAAATGATTTGGGTGGATCCCATCCTCCTTATAAAACATGTTTTGTTTCCAAAAGGTATGAAATTGTCAACAAAGTTAGCCATTGAGCAGCAATAATCACGTAGCCAGTTGTGAAGAGAAATAATCATGCTAAAGCATTCAACGCCACCTGAGCTCAATTTCGAGTCTCATAGAGTCTCCTGAGTGGCACAGTGGTCTAAGGCACTGCATCGCAGTGCTAACTGTGCCACTAGAGATCCTGGTTCGAATCCAGGCTCTGTCGCAGTCCAGGGTAGGGGAGGGAATGGCCGGCAGGGATGTAGCTCAGTTGATAGAGCATGGCGTTTGCAACGCCAGGGTTGTGGGTTAGATTCCCACGGGGGGCCAGTATAAAAAAAGATGTATTCACTAACTGTAAGTCGCTCTGGATAAGAGCGTCTGCTAAATGACGTAAATGTAATAGAAAAGGGTCTGAATACTTATGAAAATACGTTATTTTTTTACATTTGCACACACACAAAAAACATTTCGCTTTGTCATTATGGGGTACTGTGTGTAGATTGATGAGGGATTTTATTTATTTAATCAATTTTAGAATAAGGCTGTAACGTAACACAATGTGGAAAAAGTCAAGGGGTCTGAATACCTTCCGAATGCACTGTATGTGTTACCCAGAAACGGCTGCATTGGACCTTTAATTAATACGTACATCATTACATGTGTTTGTCAGTTTGATGATAGTGGCAGGCCACCACACTCACTTGAGAACCGCAATCTCCTGCACAGTGATGGCTCTCTTGTCCTTGGTCCCCATGTAGGAGAACACATTAGGCCTCATCCTGGAGAAAAGAAGACGCACAAGTCAGGAGCTTAATTATCCTGTGAGAAATGCTATGAAAAAACTGTCTTCTACCTGAGGAACTTGGAGAGCACGTTGATGGCCTCCATGGTGTCCTTGTTCTCCTTGTAAAGGACAAAGTGGCAGAAGGCCCCACGGCTCTTAGGCCAGGAGTGTTTCCTGGGGGCTGTCCAGGGAGACAGAAGGAGTGAATTTTGGAGATACAGGCAGAGTATTAGATATCAAACACCTTCTGTCACCAGAGAATACATCCTCATCAGTAGTCAGGCCTTTGATAAGCTATTCAAACTACTACCTGGCTCTTTTATATTTTTAGGTGTAAGCAGCTCTGTTAAGGGCCCCAACACGTACAGCATTAACCACTTCTCTAACAACTTTTATGCCAGGAGCATCCTGCATGTCCTAAGACGCATCCTGCATGTCCAAAATGCTGCACTTGAACACTCATTCCCCATTGCTCTAAAGTCTAAAAACTAACCAACTGAGGTTCTGCTCCCTTAGCCTGAACAATAAGATAACACAGTTCATCACACCCTGAAAATAGTCATGACTATTTATTTACCATACAGACTGAAAAGAGTAACCATATTAAACAAGTGGGATAATCTGAGTGATGATGATGATTATTATTAGTGTGTCCATTTCTAACCACCATCCCTGACAACACAAGTCAGTTTGGTAAATTCCAGAAAATCCCATAAGACTGATGATGCCATGACAGACAAGGAGCTGACATTTAATCAGATGTGAGGCTACCAACATTTAATCCAACATTTACGGACTGGAGTCTCCTGAAACCTTTAACATTGCCTGTACCTCTCTCTCTCTTTTTTTGAGCAGTGTGGACAATGAATTCTTACCTGCAGCTGTTTTTACCTCTGTCCACACAGAGTAGAGCAAAAGGAATAGGATATAAACGATAAAAATATGTTACTAAAAGACGTCCATGGACCGCTAGGCAGACAGACCGGCAGGGGTAGAGGTCAGCATGCAGGTTTGGAGTGCTGATGTGTCTAAACTTTTCTGTGCAGCAAGTCGTGTACCATGGGCATGACAGAGCAGCCATTATTTGATGACTACCGTGCTGTGCTCTTTTTGCATAAGCTACTGAATTCACAGGAAATTATTGATGTGAATAATGTCAATGTCTTAACTGATCTCAAAATAGGCCAGTCCAGGAGATTTTGGGCCTTAAAGTTCACAGAAATCTGTATAAAGTCAAGATCCATAAGATCTCTCACAGGCCACGGGGTCAGGATCTTTAGTCAGTATCATCATGCAGGTTTGTTGTGTTGATTTTGCACATGCACCTGTTCATTCATGCAGCCTGCATATTATCCCATACACTAGCCAACCCAGTAGCTAGAGGCTCAGACAGAACCAAATGCAGTGAGAGACATGAGGCCAAGCTGAACAAGGGCATGCAGCACAACCCTTTTCCAACCATTCAATGATAACTTGTCCCATTCTGAAAATGTAAACTCTTTCTTGAAGCAAGAGACACAAACATGAGAGCGACTTGATTCTGTTCTATGATAGAGATTTCACCCTGCGATTGAAAGTAAACCAGAGAGAGACAACACACAAAAAGTCCATTACACCTATCTCCCATTCTCTCCTCTGTACCTGCGAGTGCTTTCGGCCCGGCTGCGTGGTAGGCCACTATGAACTTCTTTCCCTCCCGCTCCTCTGTCTTGGTCTCCAGTCCAGGGTACAGGGTCTTGACGGCTTTGTGGACCAGGGTCCGCTTCTCTTTGGTATCATCCGCCACCTGTGTCCAACCAGAAACAACTGGTCACCTTTCAAGACAGGTGAACTATTCAAAATTATATAAATCCACTGGTCAAGGTGGATAACAAACTACTCCTAAATTCTCAGACTTAATCAATGGGTTTGGAGAAACAGTCAGTGTATTCACCTCTATGGACACATTGCCTTCTTTGTTCTTGAAGAGCTGCAGCTGCTCAAGATCTTGTTTCTGCTCCTCTGTGAAAACCTCAGACCCTGGCTGCTCTGCCACAGTGGCCTCCTTGTGCAAGACAAACACAACCTCACAGTTTAAAGATGGAATCCGCAGTTGGGGAAACAGGACTAACTGGTGTCTCCAAGTGGCCACACACCTCTCCAAAGTGTGCATGGTTCCTAAGCAATTTCAATGCACTTTTATGACTTGAAGAAGAGTCTTCAACTATAAGGTATTTTTTTAAGCTCTCCTAGCTGTGCCGTTGAGGAACTAGAGCAAGCACACTTGTAGTTGTTTTGTTTGGAACACAACCCTGCATCCCCGCCATCACACAATTACTGTTGTTGTTTACACAATCCAAAAACGGTCCATTATAAATCACAATCTGGGTCAGGTGGGCATGATTTCAAAGCTTGTTCTATTGCCAACATGACTAGCTAAGTTCTCAAATATGATCTTACTCAAGGCAATTCAGAGAAACAGATTTCAATTTTGGTGCAGATAGAAAGAAGTCATGAGTGCATTCAGGTGCGTGTGCGGCAGTGTATTTTCTTCACAATAAACAAACATAGGCTCATTCTGTTCAGAACAACCCAGGGTATGACAACATGTCATCTTGTAAGTGTACATCAAACATAGTAATCATAAACATTGACACTATATATGACATGAATTGTGAAGTGAGATGTGAAGTGCACATTTGGAATCACAGGTGTTTGGCTTGCTTGTATGTTACTGTACAGCCACTATGTTCCAATATAGGTGCTTATTAGCGCTCAAATCGGCTATTTCCAACACGTAAACGGGTACGAGTGTAAAGGGCTACGGAGTCCAGCTTTAACTTCAGCAATGATTAAATTTCACTCTAAACGGCAAGACGAAAGATAGTTATACTGATACATTGTTAGCTCACCTCAGCCTCCTCAGGAACCGAGAGATCATCCAACCGCACTGTCTTGCCTTCTTTGTTGACCTCATGCACCACAAAGTCAGAGTACCTAAATAAAGAGTATTAGATTATCTCTCTCATAACAAAACACAAACAGCAACACATATACATCACGCCACGGTTCAGATTACACTACAAGAGGACTAGAATCAGTACTAACCTCTCCTTGAGAATCCCAGAGAAGCCCTTGTGTTCACTGACAAACTTCAGAATCCCCACATCCAGCTCTGTGAGCCCATGCTTCATCATCTCTGCAAAAGCCTCTCCAGACCCTAACCCAGCCCCTTCTCCATCCTCTTCTTCCAATGGCTCTGTCTCCTCCCCCTCTGGCTCTTCTGCCTCATCCTGGGCTGGCTTGTGAGAGTGTCCTCCTCCGTTCTTCTCATCCTTCTGGACTCTGGGTCTCTTGGTGCTGTGGTCCACCTCATCCTCCGAGGCAGGGCAGGCCCTCTTCTCCCCCCCAGGGGCAGGGACCAGCATGGGCTCTGCATCCGCCATAGGGAACAAGCTGAGGGTCAAGAGAAGATAACAGGGACATGTGAATAAATAGGTCAACATCCCCACCACTACTACTACTAGACACTTCTCTTACACAGTAAATATTGGGAGAGTTGTGGTGAACACTTGACTTACAGCTTGCGTAAGGAAGGCTTAAAGATAAAGTTGTGTATTTGGCAGATGCCTGGTACTCGGATGGTTGAAGTCAGTAGATGGGGTGTATGGTACCTCAAAGCAACCCTAAAATAAATGTTTTATGGACATAAGGATGTAAACAAGGCACTTTTAGTAAACAACATATGCCACAGTCTCCCAACAGTTGCTGACGGGGAAAAAAGAGACTTAAGACTTTTGAAATAGTATTTTTCAGGGCTGTCAAACGATTTGAAAAAATCATCGAGTTGAATCGCATTTATGTGTGACGCTGCATGAGGCAAATGGTGGTCACACCAGATACTGACTGGTTCTGATCCACGCTCCTACCTTTTTTTTTTTTCTTCTCAGGTATCTGTGACTAACAGATGCATATCTGTATTCCCAGTCATCGGAAATCCATAGATTAGGGCCTAATGAGTTTATGTCAATTGACTGATTTCCTTATATAAACTGTAACGCAGTAAAATATTTGAAATTGTTGCGTTTAGTTTTGTTCAGTTTAGCAGTAATATAGCCGTGATTAGCTAGTTAGTTTCAATGTAAACATGACATGATAATTATTCTGGTCGGCTATAATCAAGAAGACAGTAAGTACTCTCTGCTAGCTAGCTACAGTAGCTGTGTTTCTTCTTCCTTGCTGAAAGAGTGTAACAACAACTTTTCACCCTGTGGCTTGGATGTAACCGCATTGTTGGAACCCAGTTCCATCCAACTGGCGAATTTCAACTAAATGGCAGATGGTTAGGAACCTTGTTTCATTTCACCTCTTTCTGATGGCATCGTCAACTGGCTAGGTAGCTACTGTAGCTTGGTTGCTAGCTAGCTAACGATAGATATTAGCTCATAACAATATGCTAAATCGTAACATGACTAGCTAAAGGCGCCAACACATTATTAGCCAGTGAAAAGCTATGCATAACTACATGAATGCAACATAAAATACTGACATAAACTAGTATTTAATTTTGAAATGTGATTTACCTGCTTGTATAGAAGTTCAGTAAAGTGCGCACAGTGAAGTACACCAGTTTTCCTACACACGTGTGTATGCTCGAATCTAGAAATAGTCAAGTCTTGAAACCCGCCCATATCAAACACTCATTGGCTGAAGGGCATGTCAATAAAAAAACTCCAGTTTCTCTAACAGTGGTGGAGCTCGTTTAGCATGGCCCGGTGTCCCGGGGATGTAGCGATTTCCAAATGAACGGTCTAAAATGAACAAACTCATTGTAGGGGCTTCCTGGAGTTCGGGGCCCCCAGATAGCATATGATAGCAAAATGTGTAGAATTGCAGGAAATTCGCTTTAAAACTGCAACATTTTATTTAAGCCTGATGACAAAATGTGTAGAATAGCATTATAAAACTATATGCCTTCCTAATGAAAACTAGTTAGACAATTCTAACATACATGTATATTTTATGGAAAATATATGTATGTTTCTGGAAGATGCACCATGCTGCCTTTTTCACAACATGACCGAGCAGCGCCGATTACTGTTCGTTTTGAGAAGGTCACTCCTCCCTCACCCCTTTTGCCCGTTCCAGTCACGGGCCATAGACTGGTGCCCAGCATAATCAAATCCGCCTAATGTATCAGGATTAGGGTTACATTGGCCACACGCCACAGTGTTTCAATATAACACTATCTTTCATTTATGAACAGCCTATGATTCAGCTTCCACATAGGGTTCAATGCCGATTCTAGCTTCTATACTTTATACTTCTGATAATCTAGTAATAAACTAGGCCTATAATAACAAAATGTAGGCTAATCACAGTTTGCCAATCCCAGGCAGGCCTATTCTCATTGGTCTTTTTGGATAAGAGCGTCTGCTAAATGACTAAAATATAAATCTAAAAAAATGAAATAGGCCTATTTGTAGGATAATTGTTGTTCTGGATCAGAGAAAGTGATATATGTGATCCAGGGTGACAAAATAACGGATTATGTTTGCCATAATATGACCCACCAGCTATGGATTTATGGGGTGTGACAACAGATAATTAAATTGCAGATACATTTTCAAACCCATTGACCTAACCAGCTAAGCCTATACTGGTCCCCGTTGAGGCCTAGTCATTCCCCAGTATTCTAAACAGCTCTCCACATTGGATGGCATCCTAAAAGATAGAAACTCTGCCAGAACCAGCATGTCAATAATGTGTCTTGCAAAAATATCAAATAGGGTGGATAATTTAGCTGGAGGCTCTCTGTTATACAGGGCTCCCCTCTCCCTTGCTCATGATATGCCCCAGTTAGCCTACACTCTTAGAAAAAAGGATTCCAAAAGGGTTCTTTGGCTGTCCCCATAGGATAACCCCTTTTTGGTTCCTGGTAGAACCCTTTTTGGTTCCAGTTAGAACCCTTTTGAGTTCCATGTAGAATACTCTATGGAAAGGGTTTTACATGGAACCCAAAAGGGTTCTACTTGGAACCAAAAAGGGTTCTTCAAAGGGTTCCCCTTTATGGGGACAACATAATAACTATTTTAGGTTCTAGATAGAGGCCTAATGAGCTAAAAGTGCTTTGACGTGGGGATAAATAGGAAGGCAGGCAGGGGAAATTCTTTAATGTTCAAGACATCAGAGACATTAATAAAATCGGATAGTCTAATGTTAACGAGAGAGGGACTCAGTCTTTTTGGTTTTGGTTCTTTCATTATAGGCGCTCCTTTTCGCGCTCACCTCAATTGTGACAGTTGTGCGCGGCCATGTAGCATGTAGCTCCAGTGCCTGAGCGCGCCTCCTCCTCCTAACGACAGAGGGAGTGCGCGTTCTCCAGAGAGAAGGCTGGAGACAAGAGAGCGAGAGATCCTGGCTGCTGCCGTTGAGCTGCCGCTCCTGCTGAAGGGAAGGAGGAAAACATCATGAGCTCCAGGAAAGGTATGGAAATCTTTTCTATTTTTCAAATATTCCGACTACATGACAGCGTTTGTTGGTTTTGGTTAGAGGTGGTGAAATTACGCGCGTGCGTGGGTTTCCAACCTTTTTGGTAAACGATGCTTGGACCGGCCAGCTACAGCTAGAGACTGATGTGTTGTTCTTTCTCTCTGTCCCCCTCTCCGTGCTCGGACGTCGGTCCTACCTCTGCATGAATCTAATATCTTCTAGTGATGGCCATCCAGGCCCGAAAGAGAAGGCCCAAGGGGAAAAAAGACAAAGCAGCCCACGGAAAGAGGTAAGCAGGGTGGCGTTCGGAATGGAGTGGACGTGGTGCTGTGTTCGTTTGTTGTGTCTCTTGTGTCAGGTCGTGACGGCGGTTATTAGGCTTTCTATAGAACGTCAGCCAACTAGGCTGTCATTGTTGGCAGTGGCTGGTTGAGTAGCTGGTGCGAAGGCAACAAACGGGGGAGAGTCTGTTTTTGCGTACGTATGGCAAAACGCACACACAGGCAGGCAGGCATATTGCGAGGGCGATCGTGCAGGTGCTGGCACGCGAGCTCGGGCTGGCCTCTGCGGCTCAAATCCAGCTCGCCTGGGCGCTCCAACTGTGTGGTGTCGGAAGTTGCCATTGGCAACGTCCCTCGGCCCCCTTGTGTATGGATAGGTCGATGGATATCTCGTGGCTTTTTGCCCAAGGAGGATATCATTTTACATTTTAGTAATTTAGCAGATGCTCTTATCCAGAGCGACTTACAGTTAGTGAGTGCATACATTTTTCATACTGGCCCCCCGTGGGAATCGAACCCACAACTCTGGCGTTGCAAGCGCCACGCTCTACCAACTGAGCTACAGGAGGCCCCATATGAATTGCCTGCTGGATTTGTAGATCGTAGGCCTAATCAATCAGCATTGACTGACTCTCTGTCTGTGAAAACCCAGTTGGGTATTTTTTTACGTTCATGCTGGGTTTAGTTCTAGCAGCTGGAACTTTTTGAATGTAATCGTTAGGTAATGTTCAGGAGGTGTGGCTTATTAGGGGTGTGGCTTTCAGATAGCCCTTATTGACAACCCGTGAGAGTAAATATAATTATTGTTCATCATGTTAAGTTTATATACTGCAAATAAACATTTTCCTTAAAATGTTATGCATTTTACACATTCTTCTAGAGTATAAAGATTATTTATTACCAGAGGTGTTGACTTGAGTTACATGACTTGGACTCAAGTCTGACTCAAGTCACAAATTTGAGGACTTGAGACGACTTGATAGAAAATAAAATGACTTGACTTGGAGCTTAAAGACTAGGGACTCGACTTTGACTTGAGACTGATGACTTGAAACTATCTGGCCAGGTTTTGTAACGTTTTGTCACTCAGTCTCCGTGGATTACTCTCCATGCAGCCAGAGACAGTACTTGTAAAAAAACAGATTGGCTAGTGAAACGCACACTTAGCCCTCTGATTGGACCAGCACAGGTCAGGTAGATTCGATTATGCTGAGCAGCGGGGCACCGGGCATCGGGCGAAAGCGGAGAAGGCAGGCGTGCCCTTCTCAAATCGAATAGTAATCTGCCCAGCATGGTGCATTGTCCAGAAACATACATCTCTTTTCCATAAAATAAATGTTAGAACTAGTTTCCATTGGGAAGGCAGATAAAGCGTTTTTATCAAAAGCAATCCCTTTTGCATGGGAAAACACAGAATCCTAGAAATTACTACACGTGCTTAATTACGTCGCTGTGGGCTTTGAACGGGGCATCTGGCTCACGCCTGGGATGCAGCCCGGTTCCAAATCGAATGCAATAAACTTTCAGCCGATGCAAAACACGCCTACACGGGCGCCCAGGCAGGATTAATCGAACCCCCTCAAGGAGAAGGTTTTGTGGGGTTGTGAGTGTGAAACAATGGGAAAATTATAAACAATTCATACATATTTTAAGAGGCTACATATAGTATAGCC